CGGCCACCCGGAGCAATCCTTCTGTTGGCACAGTGTTTCTGGAAAGCACCAGGTTGGGGGGGGGCGGCTCTGGGCAGACGGGCCATCCCATTCCTAATGGTAGTTATTCCTGTGACTGCAAGACAGTGCTTAAGGTGTGTATCGGGTATTGAAAGGTAAACTGCCCCTGGGTCTGGAGGTTCCATGAAGGTCTTATGGGTAGCAACTGTCGGGAGCTGGGATAGACCCTCTGGCTGAATGGATAGACGGTGCAAGATGTTACTTGTAGGTTTGAGGGTCATATTTAAGGGGAGGTGGATTCTTTTAATTGTTGATTCCTGGGGGGAAGATTATGTCAGTGGCTTGTTTTCTAGTAGTGACTTTGTGCCAGTGGAAATACTTTTTTGGATTTGCAAGAAGGGACATTGGCATTTTGTGAAATGCCCCCAAACCTCTTTAGTCCTCCTTTCTCCAGTCTCTTGAAGAGCTGAGCTTGTAAATTGAAGACCCTTTGGAACAATACAGGAGATGGCTTGGCCATCGGTGAAAATAAGGTGCTATGCCTTGTGTGTGTGGAACTACTTTTCCTACAACTGCGCATTTACACCTGTATCCATGTATTGGGTTTGTGGTGTTCTTAGGAATTTAGACTAGTGTAGATGGGTTGCCAATATTCAGAGGAATCGTGCCCCAAGAGCAGGAAGCTCCACCATATTCTTAGGGGTTGTAGGTGTTCAGTGCGTTGCCTCTGTATTGTTCTCTGGGGGGGGGGGGAATCATTTTGAGGATGAGTGAGGCTAAGACATCACAGCCAAAGCCATTTATTGAATGGCAGAAGAAGGGCCTCCAGACCCAAGTTATTAAGGCTCAAGGCCAGCATGCTGCTTGCTGCTACATATGAGATGAAATACACTGTCTTCTAGAGTGTTTATTATACAATATATCTCATTCCAAAACGCTGACGTTGATTGATTGATTTAATTTATATACCACCCCATTAGTGCAACATAATAACATTTTAAAAAATGACAGTGGAAATAACAAAGTAAAAAAATAAACAAAAACCAACAAAAATAACATCAAACCACAAACAGTGCAAAATATACATACCAAAAGAGGCAGGGCACAAGGCAAAGAAAATTTAGTTGAGGTTGTATTCAGAAGTCTCTCTGAAATTGGTTTGCTTACCGTCTGGGTATCCGACAACGGTTATGATTCACTCGTATGGCAGCTATTGTGTGAAGCAGTTGAGAATGAGTGGCTTGACTAGATGTGAAATTTCAGCCAGAGGGTTTTGGGATCATACTGTCAAGAACATATGAGCAGCTGGGCTGGATTCAATCAAAGCTCCATGCACCTGTTTTCTTAGGGACTAGCTTGATGGCTCCAGAAAGATAAGAAGCAGGACTTGATTATGGTTGTTGTCCTTGGTTTTTCTCTAGTAGCCAGCATTCAAAGATACAGTGTATTACCTCCAAAACTAGAGGTTCCAAATAGCTATTGTAGATATTTATTAGATTACCTCTGTTTTATCAGGATTGTCATTTTCTTTGTCCTCGGCCACTCCATTGGTTTAAAACTAATGCAGCTCTCTGAAATTTAGCTGGAAAGCAGAAATAGATTTGGAGTTTTATTGGTGACACTGACCCGCCCCCAAACCCTAAACTTCCTTGGTGTCTTCATGTGTGTGTTAAATAGCATGAACTCTGGGTAGCAACAGTACCAAACATGAGTTCCCCAGGGCCTGATTTAAAACATACCCCTCCAGCGAATGGAGTTACTGTAAAAGATCTGGCCCTGTCCCAGTACCCAGGCAGACAGAGCAACAATTCAGCAGTTGTTCATAGGCCTTTATATTATGTAGTCTGCACATTGTACTAAATCTTTTCTGAAGCACTTTCAGATTGAACGTGCTTTCAGCATATTTTGATCAGGACAAACCCTGCCATGAAACTCTGGTTTATACAGATGGGAAAGTGAAAATGACATGTGGGGGGGGGGAGCTGGGAGTTATGAACTGTTTGTTTCTTCCACATCAGAGACATTTCGTTCCCCATATGATTTTAGATTACACTTCCTGTAATCTCTGACTATTTGCTGTGCTGTCTAGGAAGGATAGGAGTTGAAGTCCAACAATAAATAGAGTGGCATGGGTCTTCTACTGTCTTACATGAAATTGGGGTTTCAGCAGTTTATCATCATCATCGTGTCAATTCTGACTTATGGCACCACTTTTCAGGATTTTCCAGGTAGAGAATATTCAGGAGGGGTTTACTGTTCCCTTCTTCTGGGGGCATTCTGGGACTGTGCAGCTTGCCCAAGGCCACACAGGCTCATTTTTCTCCCAGGAGGCCGGGTGGAGAATTGAACTCCCAACCTCTGTCTCCACAATCAGATACCACTGAGCTGCTTAACCTTCAGAAGATACTTTGGTGGTAAGGCCTCACTCACATCATTCCATCATAATACTAAAGGGGGAAAGTATCCATTGAGGGATATTTTTTAAAAAAAGGAATAAAGGCTGTTGGACACCCTTCTCTTCTGATCAGGAAGAGGGGCCCTCTCTGTTCTTGGAGAAAGATGAGGCCTTCTAGCAGTTGCCTATCCAAAGGAATGCCATGCTTGCTTTTTAAGAGTCTTTGTAAAAGCAGGAACTCCTGCTGCCCTGTGGAGGGAAGCTATTGGGGAACATATGGCCTTCCAGATGTTATTGAACTGTAATGCCCATCAGACATAGACAACATAGGCAGTGTCCAAAGGGCCATCTTCAAGTTAAGTTGGACTTACTTATTTTGCTCTGCAGACTTAAATCATTAGGAACATTTGTATTTGTTTTGTATTGAGAAGAACATTCTCTTTAAGTTGTGTGTGTGCATGGCCGCACGGCGTTGCATTGGTGCTGTGCACCTGCAGCCAGTGTTGCCACCCAATTGGTTCCAGTTGTGGCTGGAGCCCCATGGACGCAAGGCAGGGCCCCTGCCTAGCACTGGTGTAAATTAGAGGGAACATTGATTGCGAGTCCTTAACAGCTAATTCAATGACTTTGTAAGTGCATGTCTGTTCCTTTTAAAAGTAATATAGTAGAAGTATGGAAGCACTTTATGAGTGTACATTGTTTGCCTGAACAGTTGATGCTAGTATGTAGGTTGCTTTGTATCTTTCAGAGCCTTTTAAAAAATATGATAGTGCCTTTTAATGAGGTAAGCAGTGCAGCAGTACTTAATGTTGATATCTGAAGCCTTGTATATTCAGTGTCATAGATCTCTTTTGGACTACTTTGAAATACCTGCCATAGCAAAATTCGTGTCCTGGAAATGCAGGTTCCTTGAGATGAGCACTTTGTGTTTTCTTTTTTCTTGTATTCATTACAGTTCTATTGCTGTACAATATGTGTCTGGATAAAGTTGAATGTAATAGCTTGTATAGGATGAAGAGTCTTGTATTTTGTGCCTGAACACATCTGACTTGGAACTTGGAATACTGTAAGCATATCTGGTTTGGTAATGATCCTAGTTCCTTTTGGACATCTCATAAATGAGTATAACACACTTAGCCTTGTTCCACCTATTTTCTGCAACTTCACCATGATGACACATCTGGTGATGGTGGCTGCTCCCATTGTTGCCTGTCCACTCTGTTGCAGAAACATAGTGTCCCAGGGTTGCTCATCATGACATTGGCATAAAGCCAAGCATGAATTTCAATGTTATGCTGGTGTATTTGCTCCCATTTTGTTCTCATCTCCATATTGTCTCTGTATCAAACACGTATTTATAACTGCGGCTTCTAAGATCGAGTCATAGCTGGCGGCATAGGCTTCCTAACTCATAATCTCCCTTCCTTTGATTGTGTTGACTGAATAATGGCAGCTTGAAAGCAGATGCTTTAGTGTTAGTCAGCTTCCCAGTGGGAGCAGCTGGAGAAAGACTCCTGTGTTCTTTGTTAATGAGCTTTCTTTTCTTTTTTTATGGACAGAAGGGCAAATACTGCATTAAAGGATATGCAGGATTACCACACACTTTGTGTGGAGAGAGGGATTTGTCACTTCAGAATAATTTTTAGGACAATTAAAACGGCAAGGAAGACCAATGGACTGCTATGATGGATACTGGAACATTTGATTTGTACGTTGGCTTGTTTCAAGCAAGCCACAGTTAAGGTTAAGTTCAGTTTCTTTGGTCTTGGTGATAGAACAGACCATGGTTAGGTTGGGGCAAAAACCCTAACAGGAATCAAAAACTTCCTCCTTGTGGCTAGGTTGAAGGAGAAGACATAATTTCTGGTGAGATGAAGTGTATTCCCATCATGATAGACCATGGTTTACAATGGTGCCTGGATGTCGTCTGTGTATCTTCCTATATAATACAGTACAAACATGTTTTGCTAGATAATTTCAAAAATGCATTTCCTTTGTATCAACTCTGTACTATTCTGGGCTATGTATGTGTCATGAGAATTCAAAATATAAAAGGAATCACATCTTTCTAGTCTCATATAATGCAATAAAAGAATTTGTCACCATCTGATTATAAAAGAATCAGATTGAGTTCTTTGTGCCATCCTCTCATAAATACTAGTTTTTGTCAGAAATTTTAGTTCACCTTGATCTCTTATTAAAATATTATACTTATAGATGAAAGCCTGTTTTTCATGACATACTGCGTCCAATTTCAAAAGCATAACATATTTCCACTTTTAAAAAGTAAATCATATGCAGGATGCATTAATTTCCAAGGACAGAAACATTCATCTGTTGTATCTAAAGAATTGGGCTGCAGTTCACAAAAGCTTATGCCAGATAAAACATGTTACTTAAGATGCATCAAGATGCATAGGTTTCATGCAACCACCTTAATTAGTAAGGCACCATCAGACATAGTGTTGATAATACAGTCTCTACTGATGTGTGATATAACTTTTTATCCTGAAAGCTAAATGATAACAATTTGTATTCCCTCCTATATATCTGATTTGGAAGACAACTTGCCTTAAAGTTATAAAATTCTTCTCTTTTTACACAGCAAATTTCTTATCTATGCATGCCTGCTGCTGTTCTCGGTTTTGCTTTCTCTTCGTCTGGATGACAAGATTCAATGGAGCTATTGGGCAGTATTTGCTCCAATATGGCTGTGGAAGTTAATGGTCATTGTGGGTGCCTCAGTAGGAACTGGAGTATGGGCACGGAACCCACAATATCGGTAAGAACAATATGCTTTCTTATCTTTGGGGATGTCAGCTGTTCTGTGATGAAAGCACTGAATGCTTGTGTAGGCACTGTTGCCACATCAGTGTAGTTTTATTACTGTTGGCCACAAAAACATATTTGTATTTAGTTTAGTAAGTGTCTGTGGCCATAGACCCCTTTGCAAACTGGCTTATATTGAGTCAGACCATCGGACCACCTACCCTGTTTCCCCTAAAATAAGTACTAACCTGAAAATAAGCCCTAGTATAATTTTTCAGGACACTGGCAATATAAGCCCTACCCCCAAAATAGGCCCCAATGAATTGAATGACTGCCCTACACCCTTGTGCAGCAAACAGAAGATGACATGATGGCATTTGTACAAATGTAGATTGTTGTACATGAAAAAATAAAACATCCCTTGAAAATAAGTCCCAATGTGTTTTTGGTTTTTTTGGAGCAAAAATTAATATAAGACCCTGTCTTATTTTCAGGGAAACACTGTAGCCATAGGGCAGTAGCAGCAGTTATGCCTTTCTGTTGAGGGAATTTATCATCAGATATGGGTAACGCATGGAGACGAAGACAAGCCAGATGCCTGTGAATGTTTACTTGAGGTGGTAGTATAAACTAACAGTATTAATTCTCTGCTTCTCTGCCCCTCTTTAGAGCAGAAGGAGAAACATGTGTGGAGTTCAAAGCCATGTTGATTGCAGTAGGCATCCATTTATTACTGCTGATGTTTGAAGTGCTTGTCTGTGATGGAATTGAGAGAGGAACACGCTATTGGCTTCTAGTCTTTATGCCGCTGTTCTTTGTGTCACCGGTATCGGTGGCTGCATGTGTGTGGGGCTTTCGCCATGACAGATCTCTGGAGGTGAGATTCCTGGTTTGCGTATTAGGTGTCTACAAGTGTGACGGATTGGGTTTAATTTATCTGCTTTATAAATAGAAACTTAAAATTATGATACAGCTGCTTCTTAGAATTCCTTTAGACTGATTTTTGTATAACTATTATGTTTCTACTAGATTACGGGGAGAAGTGTGTGAGTTTGAGTAATAGTGCCTGTATACTATACTGTCTTATTTGAAGTCCCTCATTAATGTTGAACTGATATTTTAATTCTTCTATTCCACTGATTATATGCCTGGTCTAATAACATCTAAAGAACAAAAGCCAATGTTCCAACATATATATTTATTTAAAATACTTTTACCCTGACTTTGTCCTTTAAAAAAGGTGGCTTACAGAGTTAAAAGACAGTATGTCAAATTCACAACAGTGAGTATACAATACTGAAAGGATCAAACACATGCCACACTTTTTTTAAAAAGTTAAACAAAAGCAGCACCAAAACACAAAGCAGTAAAGTACAAAAAACCATTAAACACACACACACAGAGACACACACGCATGCCCCATCTCATCTTTGGGAGCAGCAACAGAGAAAGCCCTCTCCTGTGTTCCCACCAAATGCACCTCTGAAGGTGGCAGGACTGAGAGAATGGCTTCTCCTGATGATCTTAACACCTGGGCAGGCTCATAAAGGGGGAGGCAATGCCTGAGATAGCTTGAACCCAGGATGTTTAGGGCTTTATAGGTTAGAACCAGCACTTTGCATTGTGCCCAGAAATGGATCAGCCAGTGGAGCTGCTGTACCAGGGAGGTTGTGTGTGCCCTGTGACACCCCCAGTTAGTAATCTGTCTGCCATGTTTTGGGCCTGCTGAAGTTTCCTGATACTTTCCAGAGGTGGCCCCACATAGTGTGTTACAATATTCAGCTAGGATTTGACGCCCACATAGAGTGTGTTACAATAATCCAGCTAGGATGTGACTAAGGCAAGTGTCACCATGGCCAAAAACAGGTGCAGCTGGTGCACTGTGCAATATTGCATACTGAATTACAAAATACTTGGAGATTTTTGTCTGTTACACTACAGCATCCTATTGCAAGCTCCCTTTTATTCTGATAGCCCTGCTTTTTTTCTTCCCTAGCTGGAAATCCTGTGTTCCGTAAATATTTTGCAATTCATCTTCATTGCTCTTCGTCTGGATGAAATTATCAAGTGGCCATGGCTCGTATGTAAACTCTCCTTATTTCTGATGCTGTTTTAAAAGCTCTCGTATTTTTAAGTGTGTACTGTAATGGCAATTTTATTGACATGGGACAGTTTTCAAACATGCAGTTCCCTTGCTTTAATTCAGAATGTTACAGGTTCTTCATAGACAATTGTCAAGCATTGGAATTTGCTGTAATCTGTCTCAGGATAATTGCTTGATATTTTCCAGGTTCAGACCTGTTTCTCTGTAAGATTACCTTCTCTTTTTACGCACCTCCAACCCAAATAAAGGGGGCCATAGAGAAACTCCTAAAGAAGTTTTAAAGTAAGAAGTGAACAAAGCTATTTAGACAGAGTTTAAAAATAAGTTTTACTGCTAATGCAAACCTTCTTAAAAGTAGTTTGCTTTATATCCCAACTATGGTATCACCTTTGAGATAGCCAAGTAAAAGATTATTGTTAAAGACACAAATCATAGTCTTCATTTGTAAATGAATCCAGAAATATATGGTGTAAAACTGGCTTTTCAAATTGAGGGATGAATAGCTTTTCTGAGTGATTCATGACAGGCTTTTTCTCTTATTTCCAGGTTGTCTGTGTTCCTCTGTGGATCCTGATGTCATTCCTGTGTTTGGTTGTACTGTATTACATTGTCTGGTCTGTCCTATTCTTACGCTCAATGGATGTGATTGCTGAACAAAGGAGAACACATATAACAATGGCTATCAGTTGGATGACAATCGTGGTTCCATTACTCACCTTTGAAGTAGGCAGAACTTATTTACTTAAGGATAGTACATTGACTGTGAAATAGTTAGGATTTTAGAGATTGTCGGTGTCCTGTATTTGTACTGGGTCAAGAATGACTGGTTTTTAGGGTTCCACTGATTTTTGCACCATGACTGATCTCTAAACTATAAATGCTAAACATATTTTCAAACAAGTGTTTATTTTGCATAATTTCTCTCACTTTTGAGAGTCACAGGGAGCTATGCAAGATGTGGAGGCCCTGCCATGAAAACTTTGGATCCTACAACACTCCCTTGGGGTCTCACCATGAATTACCCAGACAATTCCAAGTTTTGCAAGAGCAAACACCAGAACGTTTACTGACTCTGTCGTTTTTTTCATCCCATATCAAATTATGGCCTACAGTCAATCCTGTTTATAACCTGTTTTCAGGGAGGACTTTTTGTGAACCAAGCTGATGGTGTAAGATGGCCTGTAGACATGGATTCTAAAAGAGTTTGGCAACATCTACAATTTCAGCAATGAAATGTGATGCCAATGCATAGGTTGTGGGTTTTTCGAGCTTTTTGGCCGTATTCTGAAGGTTGTTCTTCCTGAAGTTTCACCAGTCTCTGTGGCCGGCATCTTCAGAGGACTGGAGTAGGACTTGAAAAATATATTCAGCCCTTGGATATCGCAGTATCTAGGAGGCCAAAATAAAGCTTAGTCTTTGGTTCTAATATATAGGATTATGAAAAGCACAAAACTAAAGTTACCCATGTTGTTTTGCTAGATACTGCTCGTGCACCGACTGGATGGCCACAACACGTTTTCATATATACCTATATTTGTTCCTCTTTGGCTTTCACTGATAACTTTAATGGCAACAACATTTGGACAGAAAGGTGGCAATCACTGTAAGTATATAAGAGAAATCTCTGCTCATGTTCTGCAGCAATAACATTAGCTTTGTTAGTTAAATATACAGAAGAAAAAAGTGGTAGTATATTTGTTGATCAATTTCTTTGCTGAGTGAATCTTTTTTGTTTGTTTGTTTTGTGTAGGGTGGTTTGGAATTCGCAAAGACTTCTGTCAATTCCTACTTGAAATTTTCCCCTTCCTAAGAGAATATGGAAATATTTCCTATGATCTGCATCATGAAGACAGTGAAGAAACAGAAGAAACCCCTGTCCCAGAACCTCAAAAAATAGCTCAAATGTTTCGAAAAAAGACTGGTGTTGTCATTACTCAAAGTCCTGGGAAATACGTTGTGCCACCTCCCAAACTAAACATTGATATGCCAGATTAGAAACAAACTCAGAAACAATTGTGGTACCCAGCCAGGAATTTCCCTTTTA